AGACATGCTAATGAGCCTAAATATTTGGCAAAACATTCAAGTATTGTTCACTTCATTTTTTTTTAAAAAACGTAAGTAAAATGTGTTGTTTTTACGCATAAACGATGCCCACAAAATACATTTTGTATTGCTCTAAAACGCTGAAAATGGCATTTTCAAGGCTCTGAAATTCAAAATTTCTCAAAGGAGAATGCCTCAGACCCCCAGGTGCGAAGCGCCTCCGACGTTTTATGACGGGTGTTTGAAAAATCCTACATCCGCCCCTGTAATTATCTATATAGTCAATGCGCATACTTTGGATGAATAATGCAAAAATATAATAAGTTCAACGCATTGAAAAAAGTATCGATTAAGTTTTTAACATTGAACTAACTACAATAGCAAATAAGCCTCACATAATATGTAAGCATTTAAATTTATCTAATTTAGATAAAATAGTCGGCAACATCCAATTGTTTCGTCCAATTTATTTCGTTGAACGTTTGTTAGCCATTTTCCTTAAAGATATGAAAAACTTGATTATATTTAAGACAATTTTTTGAATGCAGTTATTTCAGTGAAAAAATATATTTTAGTAACGTTCTACTTTATATTTATCCTGCAGAAATAATAGGTTGTTGAATTAAACAAATGTTTAATCTTAAAACTGTACTGGGAAATGATTATTTTTAAATGTTAATCTTTAAGTTTTCTGCATGTAATTTTATTTTCTTGACAAATATTTCATTAATCAGAGATTAAACATGACTAGCTCGTTTGGTAGATTAGGTCAGTCTTAATGTTAAGGTAGTATTTTCAAAACCCACGTTGGGCGCTTCATTAAATAACATGACATGAAAATTTTAATTCAGACTGTTTTTTTGTTTGATTTTTTTTATTCAATTAAATCACTTAAGATATTTGGCTACTTTTATATACTTTAATTGTCATTTTAATATATAACTTTATCCACCAAGGTTGCTCTTCTAAATCTTAACTTTTTTTACAATAATGTTTTGCTATTAAAAATTGGACGATGTTGGCATTTACACTACTCCCTTTTACATGAAAACCAAACACTCTACTATTAAACTCAATCCCTTGCAAAACTGAGAAAAATGATTCTTAAGTTAATACTTATTAACTGTAAATATGAAAGAAGGTTGAAGGGTTAGGTTATGAATCGCATTTTACAAAATCCACAACTGTTTAATGATGTCGTTTTAATGGATGATCACATATATAGAACTTGTGTCAGTGTAAGATGAAATGAAAGAAGAACAGATAACTTTATGAAGTAAATGGTTTGAGCCCGGGAGTATCATTATATGTTTGTAAATGTAGATCATCCAGGTTGGTATAGTCCTAAGAAGGACTGTATTTGTTGTTGTTGACTGATGTTTTGACAATATTAGCGGTAGTCATCTTTAAAGTCAAATGAGGAGTAAACGTCAGATTAGCCGTATTTGTTACCTGGTTTTTACGTTATTGTAATGTATGTCCTTGCAGCGGAGGTTAAACAAGACTTGTTGGCGTATGCGTCTAACATTGCTTGCAAAACGTATGTAGTCGTTAGCAAGTTATTCGCTCTGTCGTCCAAATGATCGTAACAAAGAAATGGTTTGAGCCCGGGAGTATCGTTACATGTTTGTAAATGTAGATCGTCCAGGTTGGTATAGTACAATCACACTAATTCACAATGACAATAAACAATTGACATTCCATTTATATCAGATTTCTCGAACTTGGAAGGTATTTCCTGGAAAGCTTCCTTATAATTTGTAATTATATTATTTTTGAAAATAACAAATCATTGAAATCGGAAGACTTCCTTTTGAAGAATTTAAATATCAGTTAAAAGTAAAGAATTAAAATTTACTAGGAACACAACTCAAAGTTGAAAGATTCATGTGAAATTCCTAAATAGCGGGATGGCTATAGATGACTTTTTCAGTAAAGGAAAAACATCCAACATTAACTACAGCCTAACAAGCAGAGAAGAAGCCTGCAGACTTTCCACTGAATGATATTGTTTGACTTCCATTAAAAAAATTGCAAATATATAGAATCACGTGTTTTTTCTAAAGTGGACCATACATATTTATATCTCATGTATTAAAATTTGCCACAGTTACTTGAGCTACACCTGGAAGACTGTGAACAAGTTACGGATGTCACTATTCAATAACTGACAAACAACGATGAAAGCTAAGGGAACTTTTTCTACAGGGCTGTCCCACTGATCTGATAATAGACTGGATATAGCTTCTATAGGTAGCAAAAGTGAAGCCTAATTATATATGCAAAATGCACTTCCGGGTACCACAAAAAATACAAATTACTATAGAAATGTATGGCGGATAACGTTTACATACAAGGATTTTCGAATATTTAAGGCATTTCGTGACATTTTACTAATCTCAAACATCTGTCATGGATAAAACAAGTTATGTTAATCAATTTGACATCAAAATGATACCAATATCTGCAAAATATCGGCGCTCGTGTTCAATTGAAAATTGCGCGTGCAAGAATCGAATTTGGCCCATCGTTGCAAAGGCAAGATAATTCACAGCTCATTTTCCAAGTTCAGAGGCAGTTATGATCTAGAATGAGTTTCGATGCTTAAAAAATTCGTTTAGTACCTTTCTTTTATCATTCTTTATTATCTAGACATTGTTTTATGTTACTTTTGCCGTGACTTCATTAGGTGGGTACTCTTGTTATAGGAAAAAGACAAATTTACTAAGCTTTCTTCCTCTCTTTATTCTTATTTTCATTTCTGTTTTTATTTTACAGATATAATTTAATCACCACGCCTTGCTAATACATTTGGACCTGGTCTTCATGAATGAGTGAGTATAGTTGTTATTGACATAACATGTGCATCAATTGCATTGTATACAAAGATTCGGCAACAGAAATTGTATTTCCATGTAATAAACTACCATCAGAAGCTGAAAACACCATCCTGCCTTGTTTCATGTTGATATAACAATAGCTGTTGGTTTGAAACAAATTACTTCTGTTTGTAGACAAAATATATACTGTGATGATTATCAAGATTATAGTAGTGCACACAGCTTTTCCATTGTTTCTGAATTTAAAGTGATTGCAATACCATACATGGCTAATTTTATAGGCAGATGCTGCTAAAGAAAACCACCTGCCCTACTTGTTAAGCTGTTGGTTGAAAAAATTACTAAAGTGAATCTGCTTTTCTGCCTTTAAAAGACATGAGTACTTTGATTCAAACCAACAGCTATTGTTATTCAAGTATGCAATAAAACAGAAAGGTGCTTTTAACTTCAGATGGCAGTTTACCACATGGGAATACAATTCCTGATGCTACGGTATAGACTGCAATTGATAAAAATGTTGGATACTTTTGTCAATAACAACCATACTTACTCATGGCTATATACAAATGCTACAGCAAGGTGTGGTGATTGTATTATTTTTATAAAATAAAAACAGAAATGAAAATAAGAATAAAGAGAGGAAGAAAGCTTAGTAAATTTGTCTTTTTCCTATAACAAGAGTACCCACCTAATGAAGTCACGGCAAAAGTAACATAAAACAATGTCTAGATAATAAAGAATGATAAAAGAAAGGTACTAAACGAATTTTTTAAGCATCGAAACTCATTCTAGATCATAACTGCCTCTGAACTTGGAAAATGAGCTGTGAATTATCTTGCCTTTGCAACGATGGGCCAAATTCGATTCTCGCACGCGCAATTTTCAATTGAACACGAGCGCCGATATTTTTGCAGATATTGGTATCATTTTGATGTCAAATTGATCAACACAACTTGTTTTATCCATGACAGATGTTTGAGATGAGTAAAATGTCACGAAATGCCTTAAATATTCGAAAATCCTTGTATGTAAACGTTATCCGCCATACATTTCTATAGTAATTTGTATTTCTTGTGGTACCCGGAAGTGCATATTGCATATATAATTAGGCTTCACTTTTGCTACCTATAGAAGCTATATCCAGTCTATTATCAGATCAGCGGGCTGTCCAAGCTATTGACATTGCCATTTAGACTTTAAGGCAACAAAAACACCAGATTTATGAAAATTCCACATTAATTGCAACAATGATAAAAACAAATTTGAAGAAAAACCTACAAACTTCTTCTAATAAACGTATAATACAATAACACATAAAAAGCATTGATTGCGTTTTTAATATACGACAACATAAAAAATCATTAAATTTTCAGGATGCAATAAATTTTTGCACAAATTTGGTCAGCAGAAACCAAGACTAACAGTCTTAATGGATAACCATATTAAAACAGCTGTATTATTAAAAGAGAGTGGGTCAAAGTTCTTTTTTCTAGAGCAGTGTATGTGTGAATATTTGTATATATGCTCAAATTTCCTTAACTCGTAAAATTCAAATCACGCAAAAACGACCAAACGTCATGCTCTGTGCCATATATCGTAACACTGACACTCAGTAGATGGAGCTTTCATTTCCTCAGCACGAGAAAAAGAAATCTACAAACGACTCGTATGCCGATCTTTCACAGACTAAAAAAATTAACTTCAGTATCTTTTTGTACTTTAGTAGGTCTCTTCTCTTAATTAGGAATCGAGCTTTAACAAACATTCCGGTTCCATTTGCAGCCACAGATCTGTTGGTTTATTTCAGCATGTCGGTTAATCCTAATTGATTTCTGCAGTCAACCCAAAACTGCGATTCACAACTTCGGCCAGTGCCCCGTGGTACTAATGTTACTGATAACGAGCAAGTAAAAAAGACATTGGATGAAATGACTAGATAAAAGGAAAGAGTTATGGCGGAAATATATCAAAAATTTAGTACGAATGTGGTCAGTATCACGAAATAAGTAAAGAGTTGTCGGAAATAAGATAAGAAACAAAAGCTTTTCAACAAAATACTTGTACAGAGGTAACATGGTAGTCTACTTGCTGACAAAATGGTTGCCAAAATGGTTGACAAATGGTTGCAGATTTACAGTTAACAGATTAACATCAACAAAATGAATTGTTAAAAAGCTTTAACAATTTTCATCTGCATATAAAACATATCAACGCAAAAGAAACAACTTTTCCTATGGTACCACAAGCAAATAGCTATAGCGTATACAGTATCAAATTTACTAACCAAGTCATTCATACTGTTATTCGTCAGCACTAATGTTTCTAAATTTGGTAGACAAGTTGCTAATCCTTCGCCAATTCGACTAAAATGGATTCAACATTGCAACATGAATACAATTATATCTACGACAAAAAAAGATGAATACTTTGAATTTCACATTTATTCCTATCTAAGTCAATCCGTCAACACATATTCAGCCACAATCCTGACGCTAAACAGAGCAATATTGTTCACATGGATGTTAAGAAGGATATTTAAAATTACAAGACTTATAAGCTGAAAGGAATAACAATCTTTCTTGGGTGACGCCTTGTTGTACCATGAGCTTTCACAAAAATTCAACTTTCCTCAAACAGTCTGGTAGCTGCTTCACGTTCCTAAATAAAGACACATAAAATCATGTTATGCTTCGTGATATCCTGAAACAGTAAATTTTATAGCCATGTACGTAGTTCCATCTATATAAGAATGTGCAAACGAGCATAGTTCGAGTAATCATTACATCTTATAAGCTGCAACCTAAAACGCTGACACGCTACAACCTACTAAAGTAAAATCTTTTTACTCCTTCTTCGAGTCCTCCTTCTTAATGGGCTAAGCCCATTGCAACTAATCCTTGGTGAACGCAACCCCGCTATAGTGCAAGACGACATGTATACACACACGTGTTAAGTTTCACATTGCATTATACTTTCTTCTACATAAGATCACCTAGTTTTGTCACACCATTCACATGACAACACGAAGCAGTGAAGATTGAGAACAAGAGAGCAATTTAAGTATCCTTTCACCATTTAACATCGCCATGCCAGTCACAAGCTCGAGACTCGTGGAATATAGCTTCGCACAGAGAAGAAGAGGAAAGATTTTACTTTGTATCGTTTGCTCGTTGAGCATGTTAGCGTTTTTAGTTGCAGCTTATTGCTCTGAAGATGACCAATAACATTATATATTATTGTGTATTGTATTTTATCCTTTGAAATATCCCAGAAAAACAGAACTTCTAAACCATTTTAATTGGTTTCGAGGAAACACGGCCAGGTGAACTTATTTAACGAAAAAAAGACTGGAATCAATCATCAACCTTAAAAACCTACCCATAGTTACTTTGCGTTCGCTATATTTTTAGAGAAACGTTCCAATTAACTCACGTTTCTGACGACTCTGAACTTGCACATTGACTTATCATAATAGTTTAAACACACTATTGCTACAACGTATGTTGAACATTGCCGTCGTTTAAAATCTAAGTGGGAACATGTAAGTTTCGTTCATCGTTAATAAAAAAGAACAGATTGTTCATCATTACACTGTTGATTATTACAACAAATTGTTCATCATTACACTGTTGATTATTACAACATATTGTTCATCATTACATTGTTGATTATTACAACAGATTGTTCATCATTACACTGTTAATTATTACGACCGGTTTGTTGCTGTGCTCAAATTTTCTGTTTCGCGGTAAATCAAGTATATTGTAAACTATAGAGATGACTTTCGAGTTAATTTAATTACATTCAAAAACCCGAGAAGAAATTTGCATTAATCAAATGTCGCGTTAATTAAGTGTGTCGTGAATTTTCTATAAAAACCAACTCGTGTAGAAAACGTAGCTATGTAGAGTTTCGACAATCTTGATAGAACACAAAAAAATGAAGCAATCGAGTAAAAAAGACATTTGCACCAACAAATACAGAATAACATTCTTACCCTTAATTTTATTCTCTGAAAATCGAGAACTCTTATTTGTGGTAAGCTGTGTATGACGTATAATCTGTAGTTGGGTTTATTCAAAATTGGATTTCTCATCAAACTATAACAAGTCAAAAAAATTTTAAAAAATGTTACTATAACATATACGTGTACTTCAATAACAATTTCGCCTTCGTACAAGATTACAACAACATGTCATCTTACATATAACTTGTAAATATATATTACCTTAAATATCTCAAAGTTTTGACGCTTTTTAATGCATCCAAGTCACTCTAAAACAGTTAACATAAAATATATCAATACGTTTCAGGTAACTCAAGTGGTGATTAGGGAGAGTATGGTTTAACAGATAAAACATATCAACGCAAAAGAAACAACCTTTCTTATGGTACCACAAGCATATAGCTATAGCGTATACAGTATCAAATTTACTTACCAAGTCATTCATACTGTTATTCGTCAGCACTAATGTTTCTAAATTTGGTAGACAAGTTGCTAATCCTTCGCCAATTCGACTAAAATGGATTCAACATTGCAACATGAATATAATTATTTCTACGACAAAAAAAAGATGAATACTTTGAATTTCACATTTATTCCTATCTAAGTCAATCCGTCAACACATATTCAGCCACAATCCTGACGCTAAACTGAGCAATATTGTTCACATGGATGTTAAGAAGGAAATTTAAAATTACAAGACTTATAAACTGAAAGGAATAACAATCTTTCTTGGGTGACGCCTTGTTGCACCATGAGCTTTCACAAAAATACAACTTACCTCAAACTTGTCCGTCTTCACTTGCATTCAAAAAGTATATATACATAAAGTATTAGATGTTGACTTTGATGTACATGCTCAGTTTGTGCATTTGCAAAAAATGATTTCTTACAGCAATTTTTTACCTTCACATCAAATTAAAAACTTTATATTGTCATCGAAAGCAAGAGGAATTTTGAAACAGAAGTAAAACAATAGCCATGCTAATTTTAATCATTTTGTGGCCCTTAAAAATTCAAATTTTCGCAGTTCTTAATAAGATCTGATTCGCAATGATTACCATAAGATTGCTGAATAGTATATTGTATGTAGAATTTCTACATGAGAATCATTAACTGCAATTGCAACCCTGAGCACAATCTTAAATGCCACATCAACATTGTGCATTACATAAACAAGTCAATAAAAATCGTGAACTGTGTTGTTCGTTTCAGTTCTAACATTTTCCTTAACATGTTCTTTTACCTGAACAAGTTGCTAAACCAAGGAAATTTGGCAAACTTAGGAGGAAAATAAACTATTCAATATAATGCAAACACATGCACCAGTTTCTTAAAAAGATGCAAAGAAAATTACAGTATTAAAAACAGTTATTTTTTTCATTTGCACATGTGAAAACAAACAAACTAAAATGAGAGCAAATAAGTAAAACATATGCACATATATAAAATTGACCAATAACAGACAATTCATGTGAAGAGTAATAAAATATTAAGTTGACCAAGCTTTATGTGTGTATAAATTTGCAAAACACCTTAATCCTATATAGTAAGTCATATTACTTGTCTGGCTTCTACAAAAGATTGAGTAGTATTCTCCACTGGCTTTAGGTTGTTTGAGTGAATTCAAAATAGGTGAAGGCATAGAGGTTTGAGATTGAAGAATTGAGGTAAAGTGTCCTTTCACCTTCTAACCCAGCTATACCGGTCACAAGCCAGAGACTTGTAGGCTAAGGCTTTCTATTATTTAGTAGACTCTTTCTAAATTTATTGTTTGGCAAATTTATACTCGAACTAAGCTTGGTCAACTAAATAATTCATGTATAATTTATATAAGAGCTTGTGTATCTACTGCACCATAATTAATTGAAATGTAATAATAATATTGATGCACAAAATGAAAGATCTTACCAGACACGATTGTTGTTCATTATGAGACTTTTCAGCCTTTTCAACAGAGGAAAACCTTCCAGTTTCTTGATGTCATTATCGGAAAAGTTGATTGTATCAAACTGATCCTGTAACATTTCATATAATAAACACATTTTTTACAAAAGAAAAATATTGGCTACAAAATTGTTTACTACACATTGATTGCCATTTTGAAAATGAATATTACCGAAGGTGGAACTTCCATAAAAAACAGCAAATACATTACATGATATATACTGGTATTCAAAATCCTTGACAGTTATTAATTACAAATTAAAATGAATGAAAATGTTTTCTCGCTTTAAATAATACAGCTCCACTGAAAAATCTATTTGACAAAATTGACATCTACTAAGTATAACGAGTCATAACCAGAAATTATTTCCCTTTAGCATAAACTTGGTTTTCTGGTTTGTAAAATTACCCACTTATAAAACAGAAAAAATGTTTTCAAATACACAAATATGAAACCAGACAAACCAAACACTGTTACGTACAATGAATGACAAATATAACAAAAAATTTGGCAGGTTTGATTGGAAAGGAGAAAATTGTGTTCTCTTGTATTCATGTTTATTGAAATGCTTACAATGCTCTTAACATTCTAATAAAGAACATCTGATACTTTTCAACATTTTTCATACCTATATTGCCAGTTTAAAGCTATATTATTTTGCTCAAGAAATATAGCATTTGCTGCGCAAATTGCAAGCTGCTAAATTGTAAATCCAACTTGCATATGAAAACAGCACTTCCTTGATAAATGCAACAGCAACTTTTTTAAATGGACATGTGACATCATTAGTTGTACCAGATTGTTAGCAAAAATAGGGGGAATTCTCATAAATAATTTCAACAAGTTAAATTATGCAAAACTTCCTACTGTATTTAACACACATTTTGGTCGTTTCAAACTATTTCCATAGCAAAAGACCAGTTCCAAAACTTCTTCCTAACATGCTTTATAAAATTTGAGTCATCACGTTCGAAGTTAAATTTGACTTGTCACAACAAAGAAAGTGGGACTTCCCTTAAATGGGATTTCATTAAGTTAGTCACTGAAACATGGATGTGTCAAAAATACGTAGTTGAACAATAGAACACATGCATAAAGACTAGTCTACAGCTACGTATGGCAACAATTTAAATTCATTAAAAGATCTTAAACACAATGATTCACTGATCAATCAGAGAATATACGGAAAAGCTGATTAATCAGGCATTTTAAGATAATCGGTAATCAGCCGATTATGTCAAATAATTTGTATTGTCAAAGCAGGTACATTTTTACACCTTTGACTTTCATATCTGAACTAAGTGTGAAAATAGCCTCGATTCTTCCGTTTTGAGTCATGAAACAATTTGCTAGGTAGGTATTCATTACATCATTACTTTTTGTGAGCCAAGTTAAATTAAATTCTTGCATTAGTCACATACTCTCAAAATGAAAGATGATGAATTGTCTTAAACGCAGTGTTCTTTAGCAATTTCAAAGGGTAAAAGAAAAAGACTTGTGCCACATAAAAAAGCTAACATCATTTTCTTTTCATATAATATAGCACAACCTGAATTTTGTTACTAAGTTGTCAAATGTGCACAAATTTGCAACTAGTTCTAAAAGATGTTAAAAGAAATAGATATGATTCAAATAGGATTTTGAACTTTGAATAAGAACAAAACTGATCAAAAATGAGTAAGAATCTCTAATGATTAAACTTGCAAAGTTCTAAGTTTTTGAAAAATGTTTCTTTATAACCCTTTGTAGAGATCACACTTTCATATTTAAGCTAAAAATCAAGTACAACTATCAACGTTGCACTTTTGATCTAAGAAATCACAATTGGTTCGAAATTAAATGAGATATGAACTAACTGTAAGCAGCATTCACGATTATTTGAGACATATTATTTTACCAAACAATCAAATAATTGGATAAAATTTCTCTTCATAAAAACCTATATTGCACATACATATACAGTATGATACACAATATGACTGGAGATTCATGAAATACATACATACATACCAAAGTTGCTCCAACATTTTCTATTACTGGAATCTTGTATCCTAGAACATCAATATGGATAAACTAGTTGTATGATCCATTTCATGAACTTGTCAACAACTTATGTACAGTACTTTTTAATGAAAACATCAATCTTTCCCTAATTACTAAAGACATATCATAGCTGGTCAGTAATGTTAAATTAAAGACAATGATAACTCAGTGACATCACCGAAAGGGAATTGAGGAGGGCATGTCCCCTCCCCCCCCCCAGTTGTTCCTAAGACTAATTTGAAAATTTTGAAAAATATGAAAAGAAATAAAGGGGGTATGCAATGAATACAATTTTAAACATAAATAAAAATAGTTGCTTGCTGTCCTTAAACGGTCAAATAGCAAAGTCAAATACAATTGTTGACACATCTCACTGAAACATTCCCTTCTAAAAATGTGATTTATAGCTTTAAGATTATTATAAAAATTGTCTGAAAGAAATAGCATCTTAGAGAACATACAATCAAACATTTTTTTAAAGGAATATTCTTCCGAACCCCAATTTATGTGTCACATCTTTGGCAGTTGCATTGTCCCCCCTCAGTTTGAAAAACTTGGCAGTGCCAATCACTAAATAGATTATTCATAACATTAATTTTCATGATAAACAAGAAAAATGCAAAGTTTGAAAATGCTTAATTTTCAAATTTCACACAAAATAAAAAAATAGAAATTAATTGATAATTGATAGCATTTTCGTTAAATGAGTATGAGTTTGCACACTAAACGATTTCATTTGAAATAGCGATAAAATCAACTTTTGATTCACCCTTGATGAATTATGAGGACACATCAATTTAGTTGATGGCAACCTAGCCTCCCGGACCAAAACCACAGAAATTCAAGCGCAAAGCAAAAAGCCAGCTTTTTTCGTTTCAAGATTGCATACAAATACATTATTATGCCTTAATAATCTGAAATAAAGCCATAATTTACCATATTACCTCGAAGATCAATTTCTCTGTCTTTGAGAGCATTTGTAAACTGTGACGACTGTAGTATGAGGTCTGCCGTCAATTTCATGATTATTTCAGGCTTCGAAGTACAGGTGGGTCAAAAGCACTCGCTTGTGGTTTTTCTCCCTCAAAATTTTGAAATATTACAATAAAATATCGTATAATCAAGGCTTCCAAAGATATTTTGCGTATTATTTACTATTTTCGCGGGCCAAGACGTTGAATTTTCTAATATTCGACCACGTTTTAGCACTGCACATGCTAGTCCAGTTGATATGAATTATCGCAGGCGCAACAATTCTCATAACAAATTTTTACTTGATGTAGTATGAAGTATAACTGTATAACTGCGAGGGAAATGTTATTCATTTCAATGTAGAACCAGCAAAGCTTTGCCTACCAAAGGGAAAAAAAAATGTGCAGATGCTTGTACTTGTTATCATATGTATTTCAAGTACAATTCATGGCTTTAACATGCATTCCAATAGTGGATATACATGCAGAAAATATCACAGAAAACTGGCCATCACTAATCTTTGCAATTAAATCAGCAACTTTCATTGCACTGGATCTGGTAAGAATTACACGACACAGTCAGCATTGTGATCATGTGGTGATAGTTATCAAAAACTGAGTGGGTGTAGCATTTGGTTAAAATTGAGTTAATGATAAACACTAATATTATTGTAAACCAAATTTAAACTAATCCAAACTGGACCAGACTTTTAATTATTTATATTTGAAGTAGATGGCAACCCATGTTTAGCATGGCCATAGTTAGAACGCTAATTGACGGCAGGGGGGGGGGTGTATATTCATGTACTCAGTTGTGTCTGACTGACTTCTTTGAAAGTGATTGGGCTTTCTAAAGAAATGAGTCAGGTGCAACTGAAAACAGGAATATACATACATCCCTCTCCAAATTAACATTCTATCTATAGCCCTGCCCATCTTTGTAAACTGCATACCCAAGATTTGAAAATAGGCATGCCAAAATGTCTTTTTCTCAAAATTGCACACCCAAGATCGCAGGAAACAAGAATCCAATGCTATGTTGCTTTTGCATGACCTGTGTGCCCCAATTCACTAAAGTTTTTGGATTGCACTACTAAATTATTAGTGTATCAATATTCCTCAATACTGTTGAACAAAGATGTTTTTAACACCTGTGTAACGCATATGTAGAACCTGGGGCGGATCTAGGATTTTGGATACCATAGGCAAAACATTATGACGTCATTCAGTGCTAAACCTATGACGTCATACTTTGCAAAACATACTACACTATTTATGCTTTCGATAAATTGTTTAAATCAAACAGTCTAGTCATTCAGCTATGCAGAATCTTGTAGATCTCAATCGTATAAATACATAAAAACATTGTATATTTATACTTACATATCACAAGGTCGTTGATTTTCACTATTCAGAATATTGAATGCACACAAGACTGTTTCGCCCCATATCAGGGCTCATCAGCATGCCTAGGAACACTTTAACGCAAAACAAAAAATCGTGATCCGGCATGGACAGCCCTGTGAGAGCCGAATTAAGCAGACTGGTTATGGCGCCAGAAGTTTGCCTACACACCTTTGAAAAAGGAGTTTGGTTAGAAATGGGTGACTATATGGGATATTTCATGGATGTGATATTGCTCAATTTTTCACACCATCCCAGTCAATTCCAACCCTTTACCCCCCACCTAAAATGAGCACTCTGGTTTTGAAGGCGCCAGAAACTCGCCTTTCACACCTTTAGCAAATAGCAAAAGGAGTTTGGTTAGAAATGGGTGACTATGTGGGACATTTCATGGATGTAAGATTGCTCAGTTTCTTACACCATCCCAGTCAATTCCAACCCTTTACCCCCCACCTAAAATGTGCACTCTCATTTGCCAACAAATGAGCAGAATGTAAATGTAATGTAATAGTCAAAATAGAGCTTTGTATAAAGAGTCTTTGTGAAGACTAAAATTTGGTGTAAGGAAAAATTATTCTATTTATGCTTAACAATTTTGTGAAAGTAAATTTATGTCGACAACGGCCGAGTACCATACACGTACTCAGCAGTTTTAAGATTGGAATGTATATAGGAAAAAACCTTTATCGGGCGAGCTATTAGTTTGATGCAAATTCTATTGACGTTACTATTGTGTACAACGCACAATAAATGGTTAACATATGGACATTTCAACAAAATAAAAAACTAGGATATGAATAAATTCATGCAAATTTTAGCCTTGTATTTCCAACAGCAAAAGTATTAATAACCTCACCAATATCTGGTACAATTTCCTGATGAATTTGCATCAAGGCCAAACCATTTAAGCGTTCCCCAACCATGGTACTTCGCTGATAGTTTTTAAGTGTCCTAAGGGAAGAAATAGATCGTTCACATTCACAAGAGGTAATGGGGAGCGTTCCTAAAATACGTAGTAAAATTTTAATGTTTTCAAATCCGGCGAAATGAACAGATTTTAAAGTCTGGGCAATGTTATCAGGAAGGAGGCCGCAGTGGGTCTCCCAATAAGTGTACCACAACCTAAGTTCAGCATCTAAGGCCAAAGGATTTGGCAAATCATCATAATAAAAGTTAGCCACAGTTTTGAATGGCTCTTTCCAATCCACCCCATCTCTTGTCATGGACATCATTTTCGTCGGTACAATGCTAAGGCCTTTATAGACATTCACACTCTCAAGGTCGAATCGTGATTCTAAAGAAGATTGCAAATGATCTAGTAGAGGAAGAGTAATTGCACGTTTATAATACTCAGAAATGGTTGTGTGGGGAATATTTTCCTGGTCGTTTGTTTGCGCACTGTTCTTGGTTTCCATTCTTCAATGCCAACTTTTGCTGCCAGTTCAAGCGCTTCGTCATACCAGGTGTCATGATAAAAATCAGAGGAATTCCTCATGTTCACCACCTCAGTTTTCAAAGTTGAAATTAAATGAATACCATCCATTATATCGATACTCTTACCCTGTAATAACTGTGTTACTGGAAGAGTTGAATCAAGAATATTTCTCGTGATAACTAAAGCAACGACGAAATCAAACCTGTCAATAAGTTGAAACAAAGATGAGGCATCAGACTGAAGCGACGGTTTGAACTCACCATCTAGATTTTCAGACATATCGTTAAGGGTGGTGTATACAGGTACAAAAGCTCTTGGAATGTATCTAAACCTTCGATACGTTCTACCCATCTAGTTTTGCAAACGTCTGTTAATCTAGTCTTTTCGAGTTTGTTTCTGAATTACGTATATGTTTTCAAAGGGAATATTGCGAGTTTGGGAAATTTTAATAAAATTAGTGGCATTGTTAACATGTTTCAACATATCATTGACAACACGTATACTCAAAGAATCGCAAATGGATAAGTTTAACCTATGACTATAGCAGTGTGTATAAAGAGCCTTTGGGTTAAGCTTTAAAATTTGAGCTGCTAGACCATTAGTGCAACCAGCAACTGAACCAGCCCCATCATAACCTTGCCCCCTACAATCATCTATTGATAAAGTCAGTTCCTTTAGAGCCTCTAAAAGTAGCTTGGCAAGTTGAGCACCACTTAGTCCCCACTTACAAAAAGAAATGAAATGAATTCTTCCCTGATATTCATATCGGTATCAACAAAGCGCAAAACAAGAGACATTTGTTCTTTATGTGAAGAATCAGATGCTTCATCAGCAATAACAGAAAAAACTTACTTTTTGATATCAGAAATAATCTGATTACTGATTACCTGGCCACAACATTTAATGATTTTATTTTGACTTGTTTTAGAAATATAACTTCTATTCTTACCACAATTCTTTAAATGATTTTCTAAAACTTTATCCCCTCTCCTAACTCCATAATTGAGTGTTTCAATGAAATTACCAACCCCTCCAGATGAATAACAACCAACAGTAGGGTGATACTTGGAATCATCACGATGCCCACGAAGAGGTAAACCTAGACGTCCACAAAAAATGACAGAATCAATAATTGGAGATAGTATTTCCCTATTCTGTTCTATTTCTTTCTTGATACCAGCATCCATGATCATCTCGATAGGCTGCAGAGTACCTGATATTTGGGAACGCAAAGCATCAAAATTGGTGATGTGGATGCATGCAAACCGACTTCCCTCCCTTACTTTTTCCAGCATGTTGAGTGAAAGAGCATTTAGCATTCTTCCAATCTTGAAGAGGTTCAGTAAACAACTTTTTTACTTTACTGGCCTTGCCTGGGAATCTATTGCCAAACAACACACACGATAGACAATACGCACCATTTTGTGAAGGTGAATAGCAAAGCCATTCATGCTGGTCTAGCCAATCATGCCTAAATGATCTGCCATTAGATTTAGGAAAATGATACTTTTATCTGGTTTATATACATTTTTATCAAATGACATATTTCAGAATTATCCATACCCTTAACTTTCTCCTATACAAGGAAACATCAAAATTATGGGTTAAAACAGCAGGTTGCATATCACCAGAAGTTGGAATACCAGGCAATAGTTCCTGGGATGATGTGTGAAGCAAAAGACTATTGGCTTTATTTAATGTCTGAGCAAGAGCTGCAGCAGAAGAAAAACTCTCATTGGGCATCCTTTTAAAAGTTGGTTGGGCAGCAGGCCTATTAGTTGAAGTAAAAAAATTTGAAATGTCAACTGTTTTTGGTGCAATATTTGGAAAAATTTTGACAAATTTTCGTTTCTCTGTTGTTGAGCTGCTAGAATTAGACTGTGTACAGGAATTAGACAATTTTCGCTTCAACCTGTGGGCATGGAAAATGAGAGGCACAAAATGATTAGACTGAAAAGTCTCACCTGGTTGTACAGATCCTTCATGACAAAACAAAATATTAATAGCATCCAAACCTCTTTGGCTTAATAACCGGGGCTGAACAATACGATTAAATAACAATTTATATCTACTTTCACCAGAATCAGGATAAAAGTATGAATTTTTCTACCTAAAACAGAAGATAGGCCCAAAATACAAAGAAAAGATGACCATTTCTGGTCATTACAATTTAAAATAGCCTCCTGTTTTACCAGTTCATCTGTTGTATATCCAGTGTCTAAACATTCTTTAGACACTGACAAAGGCAAAAGATTGTTTAAGCTTTGGGCAAAGTAATCACTGTGCTCACTTATAACAGACAAAAAGCATGGGTGTTGAGCATAAAAGCAGCATGAATAAATAGCTCAAGCGATGTTAAAATTCGCAAAGTAGGGACCAATGCATTGTTACCTACCAGAACTAGGAAGCTGAACTGTAGAGGCAATTGCCAGAAGCTTCAGATCTTAAAAATATTCAAGAAAAGAAATTAATATTTTGTTTGGTAGATTGATTGCATTGTATGAATGAATTGCTGACTGTAGACAAAGATATAGCCTAGCGAAATTGAGATTTAACCATTTTACACGTATATATAAATACTACAATACGATATATATAATTATAATATATTTACCTTATTGCAGTACAAGTCTTTCCGTCATGAGCGTGCTTTGGCACATATATTTCAGCTCAAAATTTCGACACAGAGTATGGTCGGGGTCATAAATTCTATCTAACAGCTGCTCGTTAGTAAACATAGGTCGAACGTCGACCAATAAACGAGAATAAAGCTCATTAAGGCATTTTAAATCGTTTTTGGCCAACGCAGACTGAGCAGTCTCGTATAAATTACCACAACACAATGAAGACATTATAAAATATCACAAAACCGTAAACTGAGCACAGAGGCTGTTCAGAAACAATACGAGTGTATGTTAATTTTCAATTGCCTAATTTGCCTAGCTCAACTATGCTTATCAACAGCAATGATTGGTTGGAATTGCTCAAGTTAGGCAAAAAATTGACCAATGAAAGCATACGGTTGCAAAAATTGCCCAATCAGAATACCTATACACGATGTCAAGTTAGGCAAATTCATCTTGTTTAGGCAAATTGCTAACAACCAATCAAATGGCTAGATCGCCTTCTTGACTTAGGCAAAATGGCTGCTTTGCCTAACGACACGGAGCTTTATAGATAATCATACGCATCTGGACTACGATTCATATCAAAATTACGTCATTTAATTGCACAACATTTCTAAACAAAAGTCAGATGATTTGACTGCGATAAAGTGCTATTCATAGTTTCATAATTCGATAAATTCGTATCGAATCTAAGTCGAAGTATATTTTGGTAATTTCACCATAGGCACTTGCCTATGGTGCCTACCTAGATCCGCCCCTGTAGAACTTTTGAATAATTTCTACACTACTCTCAACAAAATTTCACAACAAACCAATGATATAAATTTTTCATTTTCAGGAAATGAGTGGTATTGGCAACAGAAAGGATACAATGACAAGGTACGTAATGATGATATGAACGATTGCAGCAGTGGAAATTTTATGTTTTTCATTTTCATTAGTAGTCATTTGTTTGGTTGGATTGATGATTTTCAGTATTTTGTTATAAATCTATTTTGAAATAATTGTATGAAGCTAGAAAAAGCTCACTAAAAAGTATTTTAATTATTTCTGTTGCTACAAGTGTATGCAAATTTAGTTTGTTAAAGGAGAATATTTGTTTATTTGATTGCTTATTTGTGCTTTCTAATTGAAAGTTTACGGCATTTTGGTTCAACTTGTGCTGTGTATGTATGTCCCAAAGACAATAGATATAAGCGCATAATACCAGGAATGAAAAGTTCTTTACAATTGGCACGAAATCGTCGGAGGCATAGTCAATGTTGTTGAGAAGTATTTACTACAAAATAACATGACCAATTCGATCAATTTCTATTTGGCTTAGCTTGCGATAACAATCAGTAATAGCAATGCAAGTCATGAGCGTGCAGATTTATAGGTTAAGTGAACAACATATGCACGTGTTGCTCACGATATTTATTTATCGTAAAAATTGGTTTTTATTAAAAATGATGTATTTATCGTTATAATTTGTGAAATTTTAAGACTTCACTTGTCACGATGTGACAGGCAATCTATAAGCGTAGAACTTCGGTAAATGTAGAACGGAATTGACACGGGGTCATTTCACAAACAATTAGCTCAAAAACACATTGTTAAAATATCGAGGATGTTTTGTTTAAGTAATATTAAATACAAATTTTAATTGCCTTAATCAAACTACTTTAATTTGTGGCGAGGGTTAACAGGCTGCCTCTGTACGCATTGCGTGCATGTTTTTAGATTCGTCCCTGGTGAACCTGTTGCTAAGCGATCTGCTCAAACAACTTCTGCAGGGAAAAATGAACAGCGAAGTAATATTGCCGAAATAAAGGTAAGAGGAACAACATATAACTTCATAAAGTAAATGGTTTAAACCCGGAAGTATCGTTACATGTTTGTAAATGTAGATCATCCAGGTTGGTATAGTCCTGAGAAGGACTGTATTTGTTGTTGTTGACTGACGTTTTGACTACCTAAGCTGTAGTCATCTTTAAAGTCAAATGAGGAGTAAACGTCAGGTTAGCCGTATTTGTTACCTGGTTCTTACGTCATTGTAATGTATGTCCTTGCAGCGGTGGTTAAACAAGACTTGTTGGCGTATGCGTCTAACATTGCTTGCAAAACGTATGTAGCCGTTAGCAAGTTATTCGCTCTGTCGTCCAAATGATCGTAATAAAGATATGGTTTGAACTCGGGAGTATCATTACATGTTTGTAAATGTAGATCGTCCAGGTTGGTATAGTACAATCACACTAATTCACAATGACAATACACAATTGACATTCCATTTATATCAGATTTCTCGAACTTGGAAGGTATTTCCTGGAAAGCTTCCTTATAATTTGTAATTATATTATTTTTGAAAATAACAAATCATTGAAATCGGAAGACTTCCTTTTGAAGAATTTAAATATCAGTTAAAAGTAAAGAATTAAAATTTACTAGGAACACAACTCAAAGTTGAAAGATATATGTGAAATTTCTAAATAGCGGGATGGCTATAGATGACTGTTTCAGTAAAGGAAAAACATCCCACAATAACTACAGCCTAACAAGCAGAGAAGAAACCTGCAGACTTTCACTGAATGATATTATTTGACTTCCATTAAAAAAATTGCAAATATATAGAATCACGTGTTTTTTCTAAAGTGGACCATACATATTTAATTGTAATGTGTTAAAATTTGCCACAGTTACGCAAGCTACACCTGGAAGACCGTGAACAAGTTACGGATGTCACTATTCAATAACTGACAAACAACGATGAAAGCTAAGGGAACTTTTCTACAGGGCTGTCCAAGCTATTGACATTGCCATTTAGACTTTAAGGCAACAAAACACCAGATTTATGAAGCTCCACATTATTCATTGCAACAATGATAAAAAAGGAAAAACAAATTTGGTGAAAAACCTAAAAATTCTTCTAATAAACGTATAAAACAATAACACATAAAAGCATTGATTGTTTTTAATATGAGACAAAATAAAAATCATTAAATTTTATGATGTAATAAAATTTTGCACAAATTCGGTCAGCAGAAACCAAAAGACAGCCTTAATGGATAACCATACTAAAACAGCTGTATTATTAAAACAATGTGGATCAACGTTCTTTTTCTAGAGCAGTGTATGTGTATTTGTATATGCTCAAATTGCTTAACTCGTAAAATTCAAATCACGCAAAACTACCACACGTCGTGCTCTGTTGCATATTTTCGTTGCACTGACGCTCAGTAGATAGAACTTTCATTTACTCAGCAAGAGGAAAAGAAATCTACAAGCGACTCTTATGCCGATCCTTTAGAGGGTGAAACAGTTGATCCCAGTGTTTTTTGAACTTTGCTAGTGCTCTCTTCTTATCTAAGAATCGAACTTTTTCAACTTTCACGTTCGAATTGCCGCCACAGATCTGTTGATTTATTTCAGCATGTCGCTTAATCAAATTGGTTTCTTCAGTCAACCCTAAACTGCGATTCACAACTTCGACCAGTGCCCCGTGGTACTAGTCTTACTGATTACGAGCAAGTAAAAGAATAATGGATGAAATGACTAGAAAAACGGGAAAAATTATCCCTGTAATAAATCAAAAATTTAGTATGGACGTGATCAATATCAGGAAATAAGTAAAGAGATGACGAAATTAAGAAAAAAAACAACAGCTTTTCAACAATATATTTCTACAGTGAAAAAAGAAACGAAAGTCATAATGTATTAAAGAAACACTGGAAAAATTAAATAATAAGGAGCTACAAGTTTATTTGTTTTCTACAGTCAACCCGAAACTACGATTCACCGATTCTCCACTTCGACCAGTAGCCTGTGTTTATTGTCTTACTGACATGAGCACGTTTTCCTTTTCGTCTGACTTAGTGCTCTAATCTTTAGGAATGATGTTGCCTGTTCAAAATAATTTCAAAGTTTTTCTTCATAATTTCAAAGTTTTAACTGAAACGAACAGCACAGTTCACGATTTTTATTCAATGTCGATGTGGCATTTAAGATTGTGCTCAGTGTTGCAATTGCAGTTAATGATTCTCATGTAGAAATTCTACATACAATATAATATTCAGCAATCTTATGGTAATCATTGCGAATCAGATATTATTAAGAACTGCGAAAATTTGGATTTTTAAGGGCCACAAAATGATGAAAATTAGCATGGCTATTGTTTTACTTCTGTTTCAAAATTCCTCTTGCTCTCGATGAAAATATAAAGTTTTTAATTTGATGTGAAGGTAAAAAATTGCTGTAAGAAATCATTTTTTGCAAATGCACAAACTGAGCATGTACATCAAAGTCAACATCTAATACTTTATGTATATATACTTTTTGAATGCAAGTGAAGACGGACAAGTTTTGAGGTAAGTTGTATTTTTGTGAAAGCTCATGGTGCAACAAGGCGTCACCCAAGAAAGATTGTTATTCCTTTCAGTTTATAAGTCTTGTAATTTTAAATTTCCTTCTTAACATCCATGTGAACATTATTGCTCTGTTTAGCGTCAGGATTGTGGCTGAATATGTGTTGACGGATTGACTTAGATAGGAATAAATGTGAAATTCAAAGTATTCATCTTTTTGTCGTAGAAATAATTGTATTCATGTTGCAATGTTGAATCCATTTTAGTCGAATTGGCGAAGGATTAGCAACTTGTCTACCAAATTTAGAAACATTAGTGCTGACGAATAACAGTATGAATGACTTGGTTAGTAAATTTGATACTGTATACGCTATAGCTATATGCTTGTGGTACCATAGGAAAGGTTGTTTTTTTGCGTTGATATGTTTTATATGCAGATGAAAATTGTTAAAGCTTTTTAACAATTCATTTTGTTGATGTTAATCTGTTAACTGTAAATCTGCAACTATTTGTCAACCATTTTAGCAACCATTTTGTCAGCAAGTAGACGACCATGTTACCTCTGTACAAGTATTTTGTTGAAAAGCTTTTGTTTCTTATCTTATTTCCGACAACTCTTTACTTATTTCGTGACACTGACCACATTCATACTAAATTTTTGATATATTTCCGCCATAATTCTTTCCTTTTTCTAGTCATTTCATCCAACGTCTTTTTTACTTGCTCGTTATCAGTAACATTAGTACCACGGGGCACTGGCCGAAGTTGTGAATCGCAGTTTTGGGTTGACTGCAGAAATCAATTAGGATTAACCGACATGCTGAAATAGATCAACAGATCTGTGACTGCAAATGGAACCTGAATGTTTGTTAAAGCTCGATTCCTAATTAAGAGAAGAGACCTACTAAATACAAAAAGATACTGAAGTTAACTTTTTTAGTCTGTGAAAGATCGGCATACGAGTCGTTTGTAGATTTCTTTTTCTCGTGCTGAGGAAATGAAAGCTCCATCTACTGAGTGTCAGTGTTACGATATATGGCACAGAGCATGACGTGTGGTCGTTTTTGCGTGATTTGAATTTTACGAGTTAAGAAAATTTGAGCATATACAAATATTCACACATTCACTGCTCTAGAAAAAAGAACTTTGACCCACTCTCTTTTAATAATACAGCTGTTTTAATACGGTTATCCATTAAGACTGTTAGTCTTGGTTTCTGCTGACCAAATTTGTGCAAAAATTTATTGCATCCTGAAAATTTAATGATTTTTCATGTTGTCTTATACTAAAAACGCAATCAATGCTTTTTATGTGTTATTGTATTATACGTTTATTAGAAAAATTTTGTAGGTTTTTCTTCAAATTTGTTTTTATCATTCTTGCAATTAATGTGGAATTTTCATAAATCTGGTGTTTTTGTTGCCTTAAAGTCTAAATGGCAATGTCAATAGCTTGGACAGCCCGTAGAAAAGTTCCCTTAGCTTTCATCGTTGTTTGTCAGTTATTGAATAGTGACATCCGTAACTTGTTCACAGTCTTCCAAGTGTAGCTCGCGTAACTGTGGCAAATTTTAATACATAAGATATAAATATGTATGGTCCACTTTAGAAAAAACACGTGATTCTATATATTTGCAATTTTTTTAATGGAAGTCAAACAATATCATTCATTGAAAGTCTGCAGGTTTCCTTTTCTGCTTGTTAGGCTGTAGTTAATGTTGGATGTTTTTCCTTCACTGAAAAGTCATCTATAGCCATCCCGCTACTTAGGAATTTCAAATAAGTCTTTCAACTTTGAGTTGTGTTCCTAGTAAATTTTAATTCTTACTTTTAACTGATATTTAAATTCTTCAAAAGGAAGTCTTCCGATTTCAATGATTTGTTATTTTCAAAAATAATTACAAATTATAACTTTCCAGGAAATACCTTCAGTTCCTGAAATCTGATATAAATGGAATGTCAATTGTTTATTCTCATTGTGAATTAGTGTGATACTATACCAACTTGAACGATCTACATTTACAAACATGTAACGATACTCCCGGTTCAAACCATTTCTTTATTACGATCATTTGGACGACAGAGTGAATAACTTGCTAACGACTACATACGTTTTGCAAGCAATGTTAGACGCATACGCCAACAACTCTTGTTTAACCACCGCTGCAAAGACATACATTACAATGACGTAAGAGCCAGATAAATACGGGTAACCTGACGTTTACTCCTCATTGACTTTAAAGATGACTACCGCTAAAATTGTCAAAACATCAGTCAACAACAACAAATACAGTCCTTCTTAGGACTATACCAACCTGCATGATCTACATTTACAAACATGTAATGATACTCCCGGTTCAAACCATTTACTTCATAAAGTTATCTGTTGTTCTTTCATTTCATCTTACACTGACGCAAGTTCTATATATATCATCATCCATTAAAACGACATTAAACAGTTGTGGATTTTTTGA